AGGCCCATTCCAAAACAGGCCTGGATTTGGACCCAGGGCCACAGTCTGCCGACACGGATGAGATGATAATGATGACAACACAAGTCGGTGCTTTTAAAGGCAACATAAGGGAATGTGTGTGAGTGGATTCAAGTTGAGTGAAAGCGTGCTGCCCCCAAACTTTTAAAATCCAGACATGGCCGGCGTGGTGGGGAATAGGTTCAGGAGGGGAAGGGGCCGCAGAAGCCAGCGAGACCGTTCGCTGCACGGCTCTCGGTCCGGCCCAGCCCTCGCACACTTACTCCCAGCAGCGGCCCGCGGCCGATCACCGTCTCCCCGGGCGCCAGGGCCACCCGGGGGCCGCCGTCCCGCGGCTGCAACTCAAAGCCCCCGGACATGGCGGCGAGGATCAGGCCCCTCCGCCAGGAGACGGTCCCCGCAGCCGTTTCCGCCTTCCAGGGACACGCGCGGAGCCTGGACAGGCCCCCGGGAAAAACACAGGGGGGGGAGCTGGAATTGGCCTGGGTGTGTCAAGTTCTCCCGCAGCTGGTGCCCGAGTGACTCATCCCGAGTCTTGCCTCTCCAATCGGACCAGTGACGCAATCGAGGAATCCCTCTCCACCTGCAAGCCAACTACTGTTTAAAACACCCGGGAGAGCCCGTCCCCATTCCCCTCCCACCGCCCACCTGGCTGGGAGGACGCCGGACCTTGTAGTCCGTCCCGAAGTCCTTCTCCTGCCTGGCCCAGCGGAGATGCCCTAGTAAAACTACCGCTCCTCTCCTTGCCAGGGCGAAATCAGTTGGCAGGGTCTGGCTAGAGTGGGCGGGGCCAGGGGACTCGCGGGGATGGGATTCAGTGGCCAGGGGACTCAAATTGTCAGAGAAGCCGGCACCTTCCAGCGGGTAAGAACATTCCTTCCCTTCCAGCCAGCCGTCCAGCCCGCTGTCTCGGAGGCGGGTCCCTGAGCCAGCGCTGCCTCCGCTCAGCGCCTCAGAGCTGAAGTGACAGCCGGTGCTCAGAGTTACTATCAACTGTGTTCTTTGAGTTGTCAACTGCAGCCTGCGTGGGCACGCAAGAAGGGGGGTTCAGAGGGGACGCAGGGTCACTTCCGACTGCGGGGTCTGGACAGGGTGAGGGCTCCCCGAGCGCTGAGTGGCGTCCGCGACTACGTCTGTCCTGCCTCCGGATCCATCTCCGTCCGAGTGACACCTGAACGGGGACGAGCCCTTCCCTAATTCCAGAGGTAATTCGGCAGTTTGGTTCGTAAAGAACAGGCAGAAAGAGGATCGTTTTCTAGGCATCCAGGCAAAACTGGACTCATAAGAAAGATGTCTAGTGGGATTTTAGGACCCTCACCAAGGTACCCCCGACCCCGACTGTTAAATTCAAAAGCCTTCTTCTGTCTCCTGTGGAGTAACTAATGAGAAGGCGCATTTTATTCCCCAGTGAGATCCTGGAAGTGGTAACAAATAGCAATGTTCTCCTAATATGAGATTCTTTTCAAGAATATGGTGGTTTGGCTTTGGTTTGTTTTGATGATGAGACGGGAAGGTGCATCACAAAAACTTGGGGATGACTCATAAAACTTGTGTTTACCCCTTTGGTTTTTTACTTCCCCAAAGCCTCAAGAGAAAGTCCTCTGTTGCATGAATACAGGCCCTAAAATTCTGACCACCAGTTATTTTGGATCATAAACAACCAAATGAACAGGAGCAACTGTGGCCTTGGTAAGTCCAGAAACTTGTAGGTGAGTAGCTCATCTAGAAAGGGAAATTGTCATGAGCTAAGTTAAAAGAAGTATTTAGCTGTATTTCAAACCCCTCCTCTAACACCGTCACTCTCTACTATAGAAGGAAGTGCAAAATGAAATAAACCAATTTTAAGTAAGTATAAGCTGTCTTTATATGCAAGAAATAGCTGCATGCTTTCAACTGATTTTGGAAGCCTATACCATACACCTCAGGGAAATTAGCTGAAACTGGACTTTTTTTTCAGTTAGGAAAAAAAAACCTTTATTCATTATTTTTAAAAAAATATATTTTATTGATTTTTTACAGAGAAGAAGGGAGAGAGATAGAGAGTTAGAATCATCGATGAGAGAGAAACATCGACCAGCTGCCTCCTGCACATCTCCCACTGGGGATGTGCCTGCAACCCCGGTACATGCCCTTGACCGGAATCGAACCCGGAACCTTTCAATCTGCAGGCCGAAACTCTATCCACTGAGCCAAATCGGTTTCGGCTTTATTCATTATTTTAACTTATAATTACTTTTATACAAAACACTTTCAATATAGTAACTGGTGATAGAATTAAAGGTACAAGATTAGTTTTCTGTTTACTTGTTTTTAACATTTTATTGAATTTATTGGGGTGACATTGGTCAATAAAATTATATAGGTTTGGGGGGTACAATTCTACAATTCTATAATATATCATCTGTATATTGTATTGTGTGTTCACCACCCCAATTGTTAGTTAAATGCTGTACCTAGCTGAATAATAAACATTGTTTATAGTGGTTGGTCACTGTTGCTTGATAGCCTCAGTGACTATTATCCTTGCTTCATAATTAATTGTGCAAGTAGGATAGCTTCAGGAGACCATTTCTAAAATACTCATCATGAAATTGAATATTTGAGTCTTTGTGTCATTGTAACCCTCTTATTCATTTCAGATAGTATTTGTGTCAAATGTGAGTACCTGCCCATTAGGCACAAGTTGATAAACAATTATTATATAAACTATAAATGTCCATCAGGTTTATGATTAGGTTGCAAATTGTAGGTGAAGACCTTAATGAGAAGGCATCAGTTCTCACAGACAGTGAGTATTCAGGAGCTTAATAGAATTGAATCCCACATATTTTTAAAGGTACTTTCAATAAATAGTTGGAATGTGTTCTCACAATAGGCATTTCTACTAAACTCAATAAATTATAATCTGTGAAGAATTGCTTCTTTTTTTTTAAGACCATGTGTTTTGGGAGCAAGCAGAAAGACAGATGTTTACTAACAAACCCATTTACTAACAATATTAAAAAGAAGAAAAGTAACATTTGTCGAGTGTCTCCAACGTGCAATTCAGAAGTGAGGCTAGATGATTCACATGTTATCCCTGTTAATCCTAGCAAGAACATACACGTGAGGAGCATTATTGGCCCCATTTTACAGATTGAAAAGCTCAAGTCAAGAAAGTTAAAGTTTTTTAAAATAATTCCTAAAAAGTTATCTGGCTCAAAGTGGGACCCATAGTCTGATCTGAAGAGACTAACTTTAAACTCTGCCTTTTAGGTTACCTATGAAGATTACCTAAAACATCAAGCTAAGCAGAATAACTCCAAAAGGACCATAATTCAAGAGTTTCTGATATAGAATTGAACTCTGTGAATACTGAGGAGGAAAAATGAATCAAAATAACTTTTTTAACAGGCTGCCTGAAGAAATTACTTTACAGATTTTCATTCAGTTGGACATTCAGAGTTTGTGCAGGGCTTCAATGACATGCAGGAGCTGGAATGACACAATAAGAAACAATGACTTCTTATGGAAACCTCATTCCTTGGCTGTACGAGCTGTGTGCGAAAGAGAAGTAGATGATGATCGAAAAAGCAGTTATTCTTGGAGGGTAAGTTTAATTTTTGTGGTCTGCAGTGTTATTAATAGCTAGAGGCCTGGTGCATGAATATTCATGCACTGGAGGGGGGGCCCCTCAGCCCAGCCTACCCCCTTTCACATCCGGGAGCCCTCAGGGGCGGGAGGCGACCCGGGGATCAGGAGAAGGCAACGCCCATCACACCTCTACTGCTGCCATTGGCAACAGCTCAAGCCTCGGCCCGCCCTGGTTACCTGAGCCTCGGCGGCCCTGGGCAGCCACCATCTGAGGCTTGCCTATGACTCAGGATGGCCCTGGGCAGCTGGAGGGCTGAGAGGACTGGGCACCACCATCTTGTGGCTGTGGGCACTGCCATCTTTGAGGGCAGGGCAGTCAATTAGCATATTCCCTCCTTATTGGCTGCGGGCGCCGCCATCTTTGCAACAGCGTGAGGGTCAATTAGTATATTCCCTCTTTATTAGGTAGGATATGGTGGTAGGTGTGAACCAAACTCTACTTTCTGCTTGGAGGAGGTAAGATTTCCTATAGAGAATGACATACAGAGTGTGTTGACTTTTGAACTTAAAGTTGAATTATTATTCTTTTCCTGCAAACCACACTATCTCCCATCCATCCTTCAACATTTTTTCAATCTTAAATTTGGGCATTTTCCTCTGTTAAGCAGAAGGAAAGCGACTACTTCTTTTAACTTCACATTATCCAAAACCCCAGCAAACTCCATTGTTCACACTGTATATATACACATATATATATGTATATCTATACATACACACAAACACACACACAAATTTAGTAGTATATGTGTATATCAATGTAAAAACTTAATCTTATATTCAGCCCTGTCAATCAGATTCTCTGTTTTCAAACAAACTCAACTCACCAGGCAGCAACCTACTACCTTTTGTGATGATGCTGGTTTACCTCTTTCAGGATACACTACTGAGGAATTACAAGAAGAGTCAAGTAAAACATTCTTGGCTAAGTGGCAAATACAGCAACATAGATTTGTCTACTAGCCTGTCAGAAACAACCATGTGCCCAATGGATAAAGAAACCTGGGGGGAAATTTTAGAAGCAGAACTGAATAGATCAGAGATTAAAAATGACGGCAGAGTAAGTGGATGCTACACTCCCAAGAACAAATTGGAATGATCCTATATAATAAAAGAGAAACATTAAATTGACCATCCCTCCACTACACTCACCAGCCAATCAGGAGTGAGTATGCAAATTAAACTGATAAAGATGGCGGGTTAATTTGCATGTGCAGGTGTCAAGTGCCCCGGGGGGCAAGGCCGCTGCACCAAGCTACGCCCCCTGGCTCCCGGGACCTTCTATGAATATATCCTAAGAACACCAAAATACCAATCAGAAAGAAGGTATGCAACCCTTGGGTCTTGGGTTTGATTCCAGTCAAGGGCACATGCCTGGGTTGCAGGCTTGATCCCCAGTATGGGGTGTGCAGGTGGCAGCTGATCAGTGATTCTCTCTCATCATTGACTAGAGGCACGGTGCACAAAAATTTGTGCACTCGGGGGGTCCCTCAGCCCAGCCTATGCCCTCTTGCAGTGTGGGACCCCTCGGAGGATGTCCACCCCAGTGGGGACCCTCACCCCATGGAGGTTTGGCCAGCCTGGGTGAGGGGCTGATGGCTGTTTACAGGCTGGACACACCCCCTTTAGGGTGGGGGGGTCCAAACTGGGGTGCCTGGCCAGTCTGGGTGAGGGGCTGAGGGCCGTTTTCAGGCTGGCCAAGCACCCTGGCGATGTAAGCTCCCAGCCTCTCCTTTTTTTCTTTTTCTTTTTTATTCTGGGATTTATTTACCTTCTATAATTGAAACTTTGTTGTCTTTAGCGGAGGCCTGCAGAAAGCTTGGCTTTCTCCATCAACAGGGGCAACCCACTCCTGCTCGTTCTAGCTCTGTGGCCACGGCTGGCTGAATGCAGGCATCTGGGGTTTATTTACCTTCTATAATTGAAACTTTGTTGTTTTCAGTGGAGCTCAGAGCCGGGCCGTGGCAGGTGGGGAAGCTTGGCTTCCTCCATCACCGGAGCAAGCAAGCCTCCTGCTTGCTCCAGCTCTGTGGCTGCTGGCCGCCATCTTGGTTGGGTTAATTTGCATATAGTCACACTGATTGGCTGGTGCGCATGGCTTAAGGTGTAGCGAAGGTACGGTCAATTTGCATTTTTGTCTTTTATTAGTATAGGATCTTTCTATCTCTCGCTTCCCTCTGAAATCAATAAAAATATATTTAAAATTGTGTTCATAGCAGCACAATTTACAATAGCTAAGATCTGGAAACAGTCCAAGTGCCCATCAGTAGATGAGTGGATAAAAAGCCGTGGTACATTTACACCATGTAGTACTTACAGCAGTAAAAAAGAAGAATATCTTACCCTTTGAGACAGCAACGAGGGTCCTGGAGAATATCATGCTAAGTGAAATAAGTCAGAGAAATACAAGTATCATATGATCTCACTCATATATGGAATCTAAGTAACAAAATAAACTGATGCCCTAGCTGGTTTGGCTCAGTGGATAGAGCATTGGCCTGTGGACTGAAGGGTTTTGTGTGGGGCGCAGTAGTGTTTTGGACAGGTTCAAGCCTTGGACTGATGAGAGGGCACAGTCCTCTCATTGCCACATGCAAGTCCCAGCTTGGTGGGCAGGGCCCTCCCAGCACAATTATAGCCAACAGCTATAGTTGTAAGCTTGAACCTAAGGTCCGAACACGTGGCCCCACGTGCCTGAGTAATATGGGCCTGATAGAGTTCAGGTGCATGTAGTTGAGTAGGATTGAAACCCACGAGACTGTTGTAAACATCTTGATCAGGCCCTTACTTTGCCTCCTGGCATCTGCTATAAAATAAAGACATGGCTTGTGGAGTTGGCACTGTCTCTACATCAGGGGAGCAGCGTCCCACCCAGACCCAGCTCATTCTCTTGTCTGTCTTTTTTCAATCCTTCACCGCCCACTCTCAGGGTCACTGAACCAGGCTGAGTTGGCATGGCACATAAGGTGCTCTGGGGCTGAGTATGCCATGGCAGTGCCAGCTCGCCACATATGGTGTCCGAGCAGGGACTGAGTTCTGGGACCAAGGTCTGAGTCCTGGGAACAGGGCCTGAGTTATGATGAACAGGGCCTGAGTTTGGGGGAACTACTAACTCAGATGAAAAGAGGCTCCCTTAAGGAATGTGCAGAAAGAAAAAGTAGAAAACTAAAAGTAAAAGCTGAAAGCAAAATTAGGGTAGGGACCCCAGGTTTGGTAATTACTGGGTGTAAAATATGGGACAGTGCTTAGTAGAAGCATTTTTAAATTTCTTAAAGAGAAAATAAGATAAGCAAAAGAGAAAGTTAAATAAAAATAAGCGGTAAGAAATAAACAGTAGGAAGTAAGCGGTAAACATTAGAAAATAAGCGTTAGAAAATAAGCATTAGAAAATAAGCATTAGAAAATAAGCATTAGAAAATTAGCAGTAGAAATAGAGAAATAAGCAGTAGAAATAGAGAAATAAGCAGTAGAAATAGCAGTAGAAAATAAGCAATAGAAATAAGTGGTAGAAATAAGAGAAATAAGCAGTAGAAATAGGAGGTAGAAATAGGTAGAAAGTAGAAAATAGGAGATACAAAATAAGGTAGAAATTTCCTAGGTTTTGTTTAAGCCACTGTAAAGCAAAAAAATGGCTGTGGTTGATGTTGTTTAAGGAAGTCACTTTTATTTCTGACCTAGATTGTAAGCTCTTGTGGCAGTTGCATTGTTTCTGGGCTTTGGTCATTTTTGCTTGTGTGACCTAATAGCTCCCTGGGACTTTGCGACTGGTGAGCTGCCAGTTATCGGTACTGCAAGACCGAGGGCTGCTCATTTCCATGCAGCAGCGGCTAAAGAAAGAAGCTGAGGAAGGGACCAGACTTCCACTGGTGCGGACGGGGCTGATTTGACTGGGACTAGTGCCTGCTCAGTCCCAAGGCCAACTGTCTGAGCAGCCTGATCCAGGGGACCAGTCTTACATCGGCAGCAGTTTACTATGCAAGGGACTGAGGTATCAACATGGAGTCAGCTGAAGAAGATGGCGACTGAGGCCAAACAAATGGTAAAAAAACGGAGTGGAAGCTACTCTCTTAAAGTCTTGCGCAGCCAAATCTGAGGAATCTGAGTAGTTATAAACCAGCAGCAAAAGAAACTTTTATTTTGAAGAAAATGTTAACATGTTTGTAGTTTGGTTTTGAAGCATGGTGGCAACCATTAACCCTGCTGACTTGGCTTCTGTCATTGTTTGCTTGCTAAAATAATAGAAAAGTTATTTTGATTTTCTGAATTATATAAATCATCCCATTCGATTGAATACCCTATTGATTGTAATGTGAATACCCCATGGGTTATGGTCATACTGGTTTTAGAAACCACATTCCTCTGTACCTGGAGGCCAGGACTGCACAATTACTCTAAATTGCCTCAGTAGCTCCAGATAATGTGTTTCCGTTGACTCAGTGGTCCCAAGACCCAATGGCTACAGATAATGTGTTTCTGTGAACTCAGTGGTCCCAAGACCCGAAACTATAATTAATCTTTGTAGATAACTAATTGGCTCACTTACTCCCACACTTACTCCCACACTTACTCCCAGCAGCGGCCCGCGGCCGATCACCGTCTCCCCGGGCGCCAGGGCCACCCGGGGGCCTCCGTCCCGCGGCTGCAACTCAAAGCCCCCGGACATGGCGGCGAGGATCAGGCCCCTCCGCAAGGAGACGGTTCCTGGGACACGCGCGGAGCCTGGACAGCGCCCCCCACCCCCCACCCCGCACCCCGGGAAAACACAGGGCGGGGAGGGCGGGGAGCTGGAATTGTCCCGCAGCTGGGGCCCGAGTGACTCGTCCCGAGTCTTGCCTCTCCAATGGGACCAGTGACGCAATGGAGGAGTCCCCCTTTGCCAGTAAGCCAACTGCGGTTTAAAACTCCGGCTGAGCCCGTCCCCATTCCCCTCCCACCGCCCACCTGGCTGGGAGGACGCTGGACCTTGTAGTCCGTCGCGCTGTCCTTCTCCTGCCTGGCCCAGCG